TCCCTGGGGCTCTCTCTCACCTGACTCACCAGCCGGCCAGGAGGGCGGTGTGCCTCTGTGTCGGTGTGTGCGCGGTCTAGCCATAAGCATAACAAGCCCAGCACAACCCCAAGTCTCAATGAGGCCAGTGGCTCTTAGAGTCAGCTGTGCGCAAGAACATACGGCTTGGCCCCTGCCCAGTGCGCTTCAGGTGAGGGAGGGAGGGGCAGAGAAGAGAGCAGGGCTGACACTTCACAGAATCTCAAAACTGGTCAAGAGAAAACCCCAGGGAGACTCCTTAGCCCAGGATGACCCAATCGGTGTCCCAGCAAACACGAGTCCCTGAGATGCTCTGTAAACATAAGGTCTGGAGAGTCTGAGAGGCACAGCTTGCCATGGCCATCCCCCTGCCCCCAGAGAGTCGCCATCCACACTGGCATGCTCAGGCTCTGAAAAGCCCTGAAGAAAAGGTACCTGTTAGAGTTCAATTCACCAGCAAGTCATCAGGTAGGTGATGTAGATAGACAGACAGACAGATCAATGATAGATGACAAATATGTGTGTGGGAGAGAGACTGAGACTGATTTTGTAGTTAACAAAAACTCTACAGATCACACTGTAAATAACACTGATCCAGACCAGCCACTTTTTAAAAAATATATTTTATTGATTATGCCATTATAGTTGTCCCATTCCCCCCTTCATTCCCCCTCCACCCTGCAAACCCCTCCCCCACCATTCCCCCCTTTAGTTTATGACCACGTGTCTCAAGTTCTTTAGATTCTCTATTTCCCCTACTATTCTTGCCCTCCCCCTATCTATTTTCTATCTACTGTCTGTGCTACTTATTTTCTGTACCTTCTCCCCCTTTTTCCTCCTCCCACTCCCCTGTTGCTAACCCTCCATGAGATCTTTATTTCTATGGTTCTGCTCCTGATCTAGCTGTCCTTTTAGTTTGCTTTTGTTTTAGGTGTGGTTGTTAATTACTGTGAGCTTGCTTTCCTTTCACTGTTCATATTTTTTGTCTTCTTTTTTTTTAGATAAGTCCCTTTAACATTTCATATAATAAGGGCTTGGTGATGATGAACTCCTTGAACTTGACCTTATCTGAGAAGCACTTTATCTGCCCTTCCATTCTAAATGAAAGCTTTGCTGGATAGAGCAATCTTGGATGTGGGTCTTTGGATTTCATGACTTGGAATACTTCTTTCCAGCCCCTTCTTGCCTGTAAGGTCTCTTTTGAGAAATCAACTGACAGTCTGATGGGAACTCCTTTGTAGGTGACTGTCCCCTTCTCTCTTGCTGCTTCTAGGATTCTCTCCTTCATTTTAATCTTAGCTAATGAAAGTATGATGTGGCCTGGTGTGTTCCTTCTTGGGTCCAACTTCTTTGGGACTCTCTGAGCTTTTGATGCATAAATGAAGTCACGGGAGCTCAGGAAGAGCTTTGCCCGAGGCCACACCTCTTCGGTGGAAGCCAAAGCTGGGATGGAGCCCAGGCCTCCTAATTCCCAGGTCTAGGCTCCTTCCACCAGGCCCTGTTCCCTGTGTTGTGTTTAACTCTAAACTCCAGGATTTCTGGTAATCAAAGTGATCGGTGCTGTTTTCAAACCAATCCTGGTGTTTGGTATTGCACTCCCAACTCCACGCGGCTCCTCTCACAGGCCCACCCTCTGCTGAAGAAGGCAGCCCGTCCTGCATCTCAGGCTCTCAGGCCACCGTGGGGACGCAAGGCCCGGGGCAGAGGCTGGCACACAAGGCCTGGTGTTGGGCCCTGGTTCTGACAAGGGCAGGAGCCCTGGTACTTGGATCCTGCTACTCTACTTGAGTCAGGGAGGCAGGTTTCCTGGTAGGATGGGTGTCCTCAAATGGGGACAGGAGCTGGCCATGCCATCCCCATGGGTCGGGCTGGAGAAATGAAGGCTGAGGCCTGACCTAGGTCTTGCTGTGTTTCCACAGGGCTCAGCAGCTAGAACCATAGCTGCCTCGCTGGCCCCTCCCTCCGGTACAGCCCTGCCACCCCAGCTCCCACATCCTACTGCCCAAGCTCCCAGCCACAGCGACTCTCCCCACTGCACACTCACAGCACAGATAGATGCCCGTGAGCTTCAGCGGGCACTTAACACCCACTAACCCCAGCCACACCATCCCTGTTGTGTGGCTGCTTGATGTTTCCCACAGGCGCATTCTGTCTCCCTGTGCTCCGTGCAGCCTCAACGCTTCCAGAGCACAGGGCAGGCCCTACTCTCCCAGGGCCATTGCTGGTCTCCCCAGGGCCCACGCACACAAGGACAGAGCTGCCTCACAGTGCCTGGCATGGTGCTTGGCACAGAGAAAGCACAGAGGGCTTCACGGGGGTTGATCAGCAACTCGCCAAATCCAACAGCAAGACAGAATTCCTGTCGAATATGGTGGCATCAGACAGAGAGCCACGGAGCAGTGGGCTCGAGGTTCCCCAGGATGTCACACAACCAGCTGCCTCTTCAGGGTCTCGGGCCCCTCAACAGCACAACATAGAAGTGGAGGGTGTGTGTAGAAACTTCTTGCTCTAAAACTCCAATTCAATGATGGAGTCATAAGGAGGGGAAAACCAAAGGCCCCTCTTTTTAAAAAAAGATTTTATTTATTTATTTTTAGAGAGAGGGGAAGGGAGGGAGAAAGAGAGAAACATCAATGTGTGGTTGCCTGTCATGTGTCCCCCACTCGGGACCTGGCCTGCAGCCCAGGCCTGTGCCCTGATTGGGAATAGAACTGGTGACCCTTTGGTTTGCAGCCTGAGCTCAATCCACTGAGCTACACCAGCCAGGGCCAAAGGCCCCTTTTAATCGTTCTCTCCTGCAGCCCTATAGCACAGATGCAGTAGAACAGTCTTGTTCCCAGGCCCAAGTGAGGACATTACCCCACCGCACCCCCAACTCAAGGCACCTTGCAGCTCACCTCCCAGCTGAAGGCACTTTGCAGGAGTGAAACTGGCAAAATACATGTTAGACCCAAAAGCCAGTGGTTTTTGACATGCTAACCAAAGTCACATAAAGTAGGAGGTTCCATCATGAGGACAGATCCTTTTAACCAAGATAATCGGGGCCAAGATAATCGAGGAAGCTGCACAGTGACACCGTCTCACCTCCTCATCTTTAGGCTAAGATGCCCAAGAAACCCGTTTCTCCTCCTCCAACCCCCTCCCGACCCCAGACCTTTGCAGACTGTTGCCTGAGCCCTCTGCAGTGAACGGTGATGCCCCATTCTCTCCAGGCCTCTCTCTCCCACATGGCCCAGGATTCCTCCATCTCTGAGGCGCCTCTGCCCTATGGTGCACCATTGCCCACACTTTCCCCCTTCCCAGGACACAGGGCCTCTGCTGGTGAAGGCAAGACAAACACAGACCAGCAGACAGAGCAGAAAAGAGTCAACAGCAAGCACATTTGGATCTGCCTCTGCCTCTGAGACATGCAGCCCAGTTCCTGGGGGCCTGCCAGGCTGGCCTATTGTTCTGGCACTGTTTGCCTTTGGGGTGATGGGTGCCTAGAGTGGGAGGGAGAGAGAGGCTGGCATGGGGGCAGGGAGCAGGGCTCAGCACCAGACCAGGCAGCCAGACTTGGCTACAAACACCAGGGTGTATGAAGCCCCGAGGCAAGGGTCACTGGAGCCGGCAGCCTGCCCACCCTCCTGTCTGCAGGCTTAGATGTGCTACAGAAACCTCTCAGCACCAGTGCCTTCCCTTTCCCAGGTCCCTCAGAGCCCAGATGACTTCTCAGGAGCCCCCCACCCCTGCCCACACCCCCTGGCCCTCACTAAAGAGGTTAAGGAAGACGAATGTTGCCCAGAGGGTGATTGGGGCCCTGCTATGGGGAGCATCCAGGGTTGGTCTGCACGTGCATCTGCCTCACCAAGTCCGTCCTTCCTCAAACCATGACCTGTGGCTCCTGGATGAACAGCTCCCCATCAGCCATGTGTTGCACACGCCCGTAGAACTGCTCCAGCTGCTTCCCAGTTGATGAGGCTGAGTGTCCAGAGACTCATCACCCACAGCTGAGGGACCTTGTGCCAGTCCCTCCTCTTGGAAAATGCGGGGTTGAATTCTGGGATTCCTAAGGGCCCTTCCCGCTTTAAAGGGCCAGAACCATAACCGTGGGGTTAGGATCTTAAGGCCTCCTCCACAGCAGGGCAGAACTTGGTATTACAGAAAGGCAATAGGAAGGAGGGGTCCCTGCTTTGGGCCAGAGACAATTCAAGCCTCCAACTAATATATGGTTCTATTAAGGTGTTAAGACCACACTCTGTGCACACACCACACTATGGCTGCGCACCACATGTTGCATATTATCACACCGTAAAGGTGTGAGACATATTTTGGCATATATTCCACACTTCGTGCATATACCATACTTTAGGGGTATATATACACACTTTGAAGTATGTACATGCTTTAGGGCACCCAGACACCCAGAGGTATGTACACACTTTGTGTATATTTACACACTTGGGATATATCCCATACTTTGTGTACATAGCACACTTTGTGTGGACACCTCACTCTGCACTCTGCGAAGTGGTAATGATGCGACTCTGGCCAGGCTCCAGGCTTGAGACTATAGACCCTGGAACCAGATAAACTCGACGCAAAGCATTTTCACTTCTCATTAACCTCGAGCAAATCACTTGCCTTCTGAGACTCAGTTTCTTCACCTGTAAAATGGAGATAATAATAGTTGCTATCTCATAGGGTTGGGGGAAGATTAAATAAAGCAAAACCTATAATGGGCTCATCATAGTGTCCAGCACAAAAGAACCATTTGGTAAATGGTAGCTTTGTTATTGCTTGCACTTTGTAAAGGTGAGTATTTTATAATGTACATGTATTTTTTAACTTATATATAAAGAATGTATATATAAACATACATATACATCATATATATATAAAATACATATTATATTTCTATATATAAAATCTCCAGATGTTCTCAGCGTCTCAAAGCTTTTGGAAACTTAAATAACAGACAGGGCCATTTAATTCATATTTATTTTACATTTGATCTGTAAACTTTTTATATTAAAAAATCCATTGTCATTAGCAACATGTGCTGACATTAATTTTTCTTTAGTAAAATAAGAGCGCAGGCCTTAAAGAGTCTCTGTCTGCAGTGTGTAGAAACTCGATGTAAACACGAGGTCTCCGCCCTCCTCCGTCGACTTTGGGAATTCATCGGTGATAGGATTGCAACCAGAGAAACAGAGGTGGGGGAAGGTCAACACTTCGACCCGAAGAGCTCCTGGGGCAGGAACTGTCCAGGGTGGCAGGCCCATTTGTCTTTTCAAACTGTTTACCTTGGGCAAATCACCCCAGGTTTGCCTCTTCCACACAATTTACACTTATCTGGGTCTGAAAACAGCAGCTAAAATATTTCCCCACAGTCAGCACTTCGGGAGACAGAGAGGCACACGTACACAGAGGATAGCAACATACACATTCTTCAAGCAGTGACCGTGGAGAAAAGAAGGGAAGGGACACCAGGAAGAAGAGGTTCAAAGTGAGTTGCTGGGGCGAGGGCACCTGGGCAATAATGGCTTTATACACGGGCTGATGCAGGGCGGAGAGGCCATTACTTCTGCCTTCTCCATCGCTGCCATATTTACACAGGAAAAGGAAACTGTGCTGTTAGGCACAAGGGAAAACGGACAAATCTTTCCGGCCTCAGGAAACCTCCAAGCAGGTCCAGGCCCAAAGGGACAGTCACCAGTTGCTGGTGAAAAGGATACAGAGGGAAGCTAGGACACTGGGAAAACGCTTGCGCCGCGGAGGGACTGGGCCGAACCAGACACCAGGTGGCTGCCTCCAGGGCACCCCCAACAGCCAGGATTCGGACGACAGAAGCCAAGCTACCTTAGGGACCCCTCGCCCCCATCGGACAAGTACTAACAAAAACAGTGCATATTTACAGTGGGGGGTGAGAGGGCGGGCTGCGCTGCCCTGAGCTTCGTTTAAAAATTGCCGGGAGAGGAAGAGCGGTTAGACGGACCGGGGAACCCCTTCCGCTGACCCTTTGTGAGCCACACGCGCTGGGGCGCAGCCGCTGCTCTGGACTCAGGGGAGGTGCAAACGCGGTCAGGAGACGACGCTGACAAGGGGCGGCCCGAGGACTCCGGGGGATCGCGGGGAGCCCCAGGAGGCCCTGGCAGTCACTGGGGAGTGTGGCCCTGCCCGCCAGTCCTCTTCCCCGGTGCGGAAGAGCAGATGTTCAAAGGAGGCCGGGAAACACGGAGTCCCCGGGCCCGGCTCCCACCGCGCCCGCCGGGACCTCGCGGACGCGCCCTGGGATCCCCGCAGCCCGCGGCCCGCGCGAGTCCGTTCGCGGGGGCGGTGTTGGGGGTGGGGCGCGGACTCGGCTCACACGATCCGCTTTCTGTCCCCGCGGCAGAGGATCTTCTTGAAGGCGCGGCGGAAGTCGTGGTTGAAGATGGTGTAGATGACCGGGTTCAGCGAGCTGTTGCAGTAGCCGAACCAGAAGAAGAACTTGAAGAGCGTGCGCGGCACGGAGCAGCCGACGGCCGTGAGCGTGTAGGTGAAGAAGAAGGGAAACCAGCACACCACGAACACGCCGATGACCACGGCCAGCACGAAGGTGAAGCGCTTCTCCCGGTTCTGCCGCCCGCGCCAGCGCGACGCCTTGGCGCCCCCGCCGCGCTCCTCCGCCGGCCCAGCCGCCGGCGCCCCGGGCCCGGTAGCCCCCGGCCCGCGCCGCGGAAGGCTGTCCCCGGGCTTCGGCCGGCTCTCCCGGGCCTTGCCCTTGGCCCGGGGGCCGCGGTCGGACCTGCGAGGTCCCGAGGGCTGCTCCGCGTGCTCCGACGACGAGCTCTCCTCCAGGTCCAGCGCGTCGATGTCTCGCGGCCCGGCCGGTGCGGGCTCCCCGGGGGCGCCGTTAAGCTGGACAGGCAGCGACTCTTCCTCGGTGCCCGCGGGCTCCACGCCGCGCTCCGGGCCCAGGCCGTTGGGCCTGCGCTCGGCGCCCCCCGGCGGCGCGGTGTCCGGGCCCCGGCGGCTGGGCGGCACGCGAGTGCGGCGCTTGGCGATCTGGTAGATGCGCACGTAGACCAGGATCATGATGAGGCAGGGCGCGAAGAAGGAGCCGATGGAGGACGAGATGACGTACCACTTCTGGTCGTTGATCTCGCAGCGCGGCTCTGCCTGCTGCTGGTCGCCGCCGCCCTTTTTCTCGATGGAGATGAGCGGCGGGAAGGAGATGACGGCCGAGATGACCCACACGGTGACAATGATGGCCTTGATGCGGCGCGGCGTGCGCTTCAGGTTGTACTCGATGGCCTGCGTGATGGACCAGTAGCGATCCAGGCTGATGGCGCACAGGTGCACGATGGACGAGGTGCAGAAGAGCACGTCGAGCGCCAGGTAGATCTCGCACCACGCCTTGCCGAAGTACCAGTAGCCCATGACCTCGTTAGCCAGCGAGAAAGGGATGACGAGCGTGGCCACCAGGATGTCGGCCGAGGCCAGAGACACCAGAAAGAGGTTCTGGGGTGCCTTGAGTGCGCGGCTCGTGAACACGGCGATGATGACCAGCACGTTGCCGAACACTGTGAGCAGCATGAGGAGACCGACCAGGCACACGAGAGTCAGGGTCACCTGCAAAGAGTAGGGGGTGGCCCGGGCACCGCCCCCCGGCTCCTCCGTCCCATTCCAGGTCGCGTTGCCAGCGTCCGGCTGTAGGGAGCCCATGGGCGCAAAGCTGCCCTCGGCCAGCGGCTGCTCCTGGCGGAACATGAACGCCGGTGCCCGCTCGCCTGGGCCTGCTGCCAGCTGCCTTCCGGCCCGGAGCCCGTGGGTCCTCCTCTTCCTCCCGCGCCCCGCTCGCCCCGCGGCTCCTCACATGGGAAAAAGGCCGCAGGGAGGTCGGGCCGGAGCTGGGGGGTCGCTAGCGGCCCATGGGCCCGGCGCAGGGCTCCCTGTCTGCTCTTCGGACGCCCGGGGTGGGCGCCTTCGGGCTCCCAGCTCCTAAACACAGCCAAGTTTTATTCTAAGGGGCCGGAGAGAGTATGTCGAGCCGATGGGGAAAGAGATTTATTCTTCAAGAGGAGAGAACAGAAATCACTGCTGGCCTGATGACTTGGAAGGACAACAGGAAATTTAAAACACATGTATATTTCTATCTCTCGACTCTTGAGCCTGAGCGAAAGCAAGAGGTCTTACCGTGTGCGGGGCCCGCCCCCACCCGGGGAGGCAGCCAGCCGAGGGGTGCTGATGCGGGCTCCGGGTCCTATGTCTGTCTCCTTACATCCCCGAAGCGATTAGCAGCTCTCCTGCTTCCCCCAGACGCGGCGGTGCCGCCGGGGCCAGGGCTGGGGCCGGGGTGCGGACTCCACCGCCTCTCGGAGCACCGCGGGACTTCCAAAGTTGCGCGCCCTGCCGGGGCTGGGGGGCGGCGCGCGGAGCGCGGCGGCGGTGGGGTGAGAGGTGTGGGGGCCGCATCAAGGCGCCCCCGTGCTCAGGCGGGCCGGGGCAGGTGCGCGATCCGCCCTCCAGGAGCCGCGGTCTAGGCGGAGGGTCTCTCGGGCGTCAGCCTGGCGCGCTGCTGCCGCCGAGCGCCACCGGACCCGCCAGGATCGGAGGGCAGCGTGAGTTGGGGCTGGAGCTCCGGGCTGAGGGTAGAAAATGCTGGGGGTGGCCGGGCGGCGGCGCGCCGGCCGCCGGGCGTCTGCACGGAAGCCAGAACTGCTGCTGCTCCGCCGCGCTCACCGCGGACTGGTTTTATAGCCCCGGGATCAAGCCGGCGTTGCTGAGCAGCCGGCGTCAGCCCCCACGTGGGAAGCCGACCCTCCCCCGCCCCTTGCGCCTCCTCTCCGCGGGTCCAGCGCCCGCGCCCCGCGCGGGACCCGGGGGAGCGCTGCCTCCCCAGCGGGACCTGCGGTTTAGAGGAGCGGGTGCGGTGAGCTGGGGGTTTAAGGAGCGTGCCCGGGGACTGGGGAGCGGCCCCTGCTGGGAGTTGGCAGAGCAGCTCCGGGCCGGCCCCGCAGAAAGAAGCAGGCACCCGGGAAGGTCCCCATAGAGCTGGGGCCCGGAGGAAAGGGGTTGGAGACCTCGACCCGAAACTGGAAAAGCAGACAACGACACGGTTGCCCCTGGAGCAGTTTCGCCCTGAGCCGGGCCGACCTCAACTGGAAGTGCTCCTGGAGGCCGGGGAGAGTGGAGTCCAGGTGAGAGAGGAAGACACCGGTTCGGATGGACCCTCTGGGGCGGAATGGTAAGCGCCTCCCGGGGAAAAGCCTCCACCCAGAGCTGCTCCTGGGTGTGGGTAACCACGTGTCGTCCCAGCCGCAGAGCTGTCTTCGGAACGGGAGCGGTCCGGAGTCTGGACCGCTCCCCGTCAGCGCGGTGGGGAAGGGGTTCCAGGAGGCGAAGGCCTAGCGCCGCGCCTGAGCGAGGGCGCACTGACACCTGCTGGCCGCTTGTAGTCACCGCTGGGAAGGTACACGCCAGCACCAGGCGCTTTCTGCCCCCCCACCCCACCCCTAGCCCTGCAGTCCTTTGCCTAAAGCTCCTTCTATCTCAGGACAAGTTTGGGTGGGCCCAAGCTCAGAAGAGTATTTTATATTGCACCGTCATGTTGCAGAAATCTTTCTAGAGAACACACTTTTTTATGTGTTCACCCCCAGCAGGAGCGGGGCTTTGTCTGATGAAGTCACATCAGGAAGAGCTCAGCAGGCATCAGAGCCCTCGACTGGCACCCACCCTGGACTGGCAAAGCCCACACTCCCAGCAGATCCGCCAGGCCTGGATCCCGCCTGGATGCCCAGCTGTGAACCATTACGTCTTGTTGCAGCGGGAAAGCTAGACTCCACCCCCAACTCTGGTTCCAGCCTAGATGCACACACACCACCTCTTAGCGAGGGGAGGTGCTGGCCAAGAGGAGAGAGATTTTCTGTGAGCTCTCTGATAGGAATAGCACAGAGTGGGTGAATTGTTTGTTTCTCTCTATATGCTAGTTGTCCTGTAATAAATTGTATTGTGCTATTTGCAGTTTTCGAGTAAGCAGCAGTTTACAGGCAAGGCCCAGGAGGGTAGGGACTGTCAGCAGAAAAGAGGTTAGATCTAAAGAAAAGTTCTTGTTTAAGGATCCACTGTACCAAACAGCTCATGCAGTCACCTCAGCTGGAAGTTCTGAGGATTGAACAGATCACCTCAGCCCAGCACATTGCAGGCTGAATGAAGCCACAGGAGACTAAGGACTAGTAATTCAAGACCCTGAGCATCACCTTCAGCCCTAGCTGATGATAGTTATTGAGGCTGCTGCTCTGGATGTAATCACAAAATCTAGCTACCATACTTTCAGAGTACTTCCCCCATGTCTGTATCTCCCAGTCTTTGCTGGGGAAGGGAGAGGGTGAACTTCACCCTTCCTCTCTTTATTCTGAGGAATCTCTCTAAACCTCTTTTCTGAACAATCTGAAGAAGGCTGAATGGGCAGAATTTCCTCCCTCTGTTGAGTCCATCATTTCCCATGTCCTGCTGCGATCTCAGCCCCGGGTCTCTTGGCAGGGGCAGAAACTTTGCACGAGGCTCCGTTGGAGATGTGGTTACATTCATATTTGCATAGCAACCAGGAGCCCCAGGCATCCAGTATAAGTGCTGAGAGAGACAAAAAGCAAAGGCTGTGGCAGTCGGGGGTTCACCGTGTTGTTGGTAGCTCTCAGTAGGACCGCGTACCGGGAGGCAGGCACTGCCACGCCCCACGCCAGTCGCAGACATGCTGCTCTCCTTCCCGTCTCACTTCAGAAGCAAAAGAGGAAACAAAAACAGAGACCACGGTGCTTTTTTTCTTGAAATCTCTGCTACTATTGTGCATGACACCTCATGTCACATATTTTTTAAATGCTTCCCAAATAGCCAGTTGGTTTGTTAATTCCTGGGTTTGAAGTCTTTTCTCCTGCAATGGAAACAGGCTTTTCAAGGATCTAGGCCAATACACAATATTGGTGTGCACCGTGTCCAGGAACACATGCAGAGTCTTTTATAGGCAGAGGTCCTCTTGTCATGCATACCTCATTACCAAAGGCTCTGACTCCTTAGTTTGACACGTGGGGTCAGAACCTCTGAGCTCTGAAAAGTTACTGCACACGATTGTTTTTGCTAGAAGATTTAGGCTATGGTGGCCTAGTGAAGACAGCACTGAGCGGAGAAACATCCACCAGGGAGCAGCTCTTCACCAGGCCTGGACATCAGCATTGCCCACAAAGGTGCCACACACTTACCAGCGCTTCGCCGGGGTAATTGTGACTCAAGCGGGGTGACTCACAGTGGGCAGCGGTTTGCGTATTCCAACAGAGCTCCTTGGGAGAAGCTCACAGGCACATGGCTGAAGGCTCACTGCACTAAGCAATACATCTCAGTGGAGGACAGGGAGAGGGTTCAAATGACCTGGAGACGTTTATCAGGCTAACCAGAGCCACGAAGAATGGATCCCAGATTGAGAACTGCTGTCCTGGTGGGACAGCGGGACAGCTAGGAGGGTGTCACAGCCTGCCGGGGATCTGACAGGCAGAACGAACAGGGGAGAGCTCGTGTTGCCTTTCGCAGCCTGAGGAAGAGTCAGGTCTGGGCACACAAACAGAGGTCCATTATTATTTCTACTGGTAATGAATACACCGTGTGGCTCAGTTGATTGCAAAGCCATCCTGTACACTGGAAGGTCACCCACCGCTTTGCTCCCTGGTCAGTTCACATCCCTCAGTTGTGGATTCGATCCCCAGTCTGGGCACATAGGGGAGGCTACCAACTGATATTTCTGTTTCGTCGTTCTCTTTCTCTCTCCCTCTCCTCCCCTTCCCTCCTCCACTCCCTTCCTCTTTCTCTAAAGCAATGGAAAAAAATGTCCTCGGGTGAGAAGTAAATACATACGTACATACTATGTGTTAGCACTGAGTCCCCATCAGGCCCAGTGCTGAGCAGTTTATGTACCAGATACTTTATGTTGTTCCCAAAACCCCCCTGACACGCAGCCGTCATCCCCAACGTGTGCAGGTGGGGACAGGTCTCTGAGGGACTAGGAGATGGCGCATCTCATGAGCAGCAGGGGCAGACCCAGACCCTGTGATTCCTGATTGTAAGCCCAAGATTTCTAACCCCTTTTCTGAGGCTCTCCGCCCTCTGCCACAGCGACAAAGGGGAACCAGCAAGAAGGTCACCAGGAATGAGAGGTGGCAAGCTGGCAGATCCTCCCTGCCCACTTGTGGCCACTGGAGCAAAGCGGTGTAGGACAAGCTGTGGTTTTTTACTCCACGTACCATGCCTGCTGCATTGGAGGGAGCACCGGACGCTACAGTTCCCAGCGGCCAGCCTGCTGGACAGCGAGCACTGCACAAGCTGGTTGTGCAGCCGAGAGCACTGGCCTCCCAGCAGCTGGCAGGGGCAGCCACCCCGCCTCCTCTTCCTCCCACAGCTTATGTGAACCCTTACTGCACGAGTTCACCTGTTCCTTCTGGACGGGTTCCTTTCGATTGCCTACTAAGAGGAAAGGACTGTCCTGTCTGCCTTTGTATTCCCAGAGCAGACCTGAACCAGGTTTATTAAAACCTAGAACTATATCTGCAACTAATGAGTCAGGCAAAATGACACCAACATACAACCTGACTTTATTATTTAAAATGAGTGAGGAACTGGGTAGTGTTGGTATTAAGTTTATTTTTGGTTTGGGTGTTTTTTTTTCTTCGAAGACTTGACTAAGAAGAATCTACATGCCCCATCGGCTTGGACTCCCGGGCTATGATACAACCCTCACGCACACACCCAAGCGCACAGACCTTAAACACACACTCACCCATCTGAACACCATGACCATGCGAGGAACACAATGTTCGCACGGCCGTCCACGCCACACACGCAGCTGGAAGCAAACATCTGTCAAGTAGCTGCATTGCTGACACGGGGGCAGGAGGCAGTCATGAGGAAAAAAATCTATTGCTTCCTTTGAGCCCTGATTTAATTCCTCCACTTTCTTGTACCTGAGCTGGGGCCCTCAGAATCCCATTGTTACTGGATGTGGAGTTAAGCCAAAAGAAAAGTGTGGACTCCGAGACTGTTGTCCCAGACTGTTGTCGTAGGAACTGATTTTCTGCCACCAGCCGAGTTTCTCATCTCTGACTGCCAAACCAATCCCGCCGTACTCACAAAAACAAGCGAGAAGTCCTGCCACCACCTTCATCAGAGATTCTATAGTGCCAGCCCATCCCGCCCCAGCCTGGACGAAAGGTTAGGCCAGGTGTTTTCCGTCTCTGGCCAAGACCAGATGACGGCGGTCTGTGCCAGCATCCTCTCGACCTTCAGGATGCCAGTGAAGGCTGGGCTCCCCTCCGGCTCTTCGCTGCAGCCCAACCCCGCAGGACATGTTTGTGTTTCCACTAAAACACGATTACTGAGGGCCGTGCACACACACAAACCTTACCATCACATCCTTGGGTCCTCCAGGTTGGTCCTCACAATTAAGTGTCCCTCCCCCCCAAATTCAGGGGAAGGAAGTATCTTACCTGCTGTGTCCAGAAGCATAATAAGGAAAAGCATGGCTTGAAACAGTTGTGGTGAGTGATGGCTGTTTGTTCTCAGGAAAACAGGTGAGCCGGGTCCACTGGCTCTTGGATGTAAAGGAGCTGTCACCAGCATTAACTAATAACTCTTAAACCAACAGCCTGTTAATCTAATTAGGTAAGGTGACTCACCCTTCCCATTTACTCAAGGAAACCAAGGAGATGTGGTGCCTGAAATACACATACTCTCTCTCTCTCTCT